TACTCCAGGATTGGTTTGACATAGGTGGTATACAAAGTTCTGAATGATTCCTTGCACAAGTGTCTAAATGCTGTTCTTATATTAGCCAACCTGGCATATGCTGCTGATGTTATCCACTTGATATGGGTTTCAGGGGACAGGTCTGGCGTGATATCAACCCCCAAGTCTTTTTCTCTCCGACTCTTGAAGAATTTCATCTCCCAAACGATTCCTTGTAACTGGCTTCCTGCTTCCTTCACCTATCTTCATTACATTATATTTGCTTGGGTTAAACTCTGACAACCATTTGTTCGACCATTCCTTTAGTTTGTCTAGGTCTTCTTGAAGCCTCAAGCAGTCCTCCTCTGTCTTAATCCTTTTCATCATTTTGGCATCGTCAGCAAACATTGAGAAGAATGAGTCTATACCCTCCGGGAGATCATTTACGTATATCAGAAACAGGATAGGTCCAAGTACAGAGCCCTGTGGGACTCCACTGGTGACTTCACTCCAATCTGAGGTCTCACTCCTCACTGTAACTCTTTGCTTCCTATTGTTTAGGTATTCCCTTATCCACTGAAGCACCTTACCAGCTACACCTGCCTGTCTCTCCAGCTTATGTACAAGCCTCTTATGGGGAATTGTATCAAAGGCTTTCCAACAGTCCAAAAAAATGCAGTCCGCCCAGTCTTCTCTTTCTTGCTTAATCTTTGTCACCTGATCGTAGAATTCTATTAAGCCAGTAAGGCAAGATTGGCCAGTTTGCATGCATCTTAACGTGACCTTACTATGTATGTATATATTGTTCTTCGTTACACTGTAGGGGCACAGCCCTGAATTTTTGTAACTTTTGCTTTAGTCTTTCAGCGACTGAATCTTTTCTTGACTCTGGGCGTTCCTTCATTGACTCATTCAATGCTTTCTGGACATTCATTCATTCATTGACTGTTGTTCCATGCCTGGCTGCATCCTTATACAGTATATACATTGGAGTCTCTCTATACAGATATAGTTGATCATGTACTTTCCATTGCCAATTGTTACCTGGGTCTTATTAGTTTGTCATATTAATTATACTCTCCTGTCCCTAGCTACTGGTGCTTGGACCATATTTAAGGTCTTTTCATTGCATATTTATGTATTTCCTACCTCTGTACTACACATTGTTGTGTATCTTAGAATGTTCATATTGGCTGTACTAATGTTAGTGCTAGGTTGGACTATGTACATGTTCATTCCCTGATATTGAACAGACCCAGTGTTCAGTTATAGGGCTGAGTTCTTCCTCTTCTCCTTGTATGTCACTACCAGCTTATGTGTTGCAATGTCTGTAGGTGGATGTAGATTTCTAGTCATCCACTACTGCCCCTACAGTTCCTTTTCATTGGGACAGGAGCAGCTAGGATTGCGGCCCTGCCTACAGCCTTTTATTTGTGTTCCTTTTCCAGACAGTACATTTATGTTTTAGTGCAGTACACGTCCTATGTAGTTCTCCTCATACCTTCCTCAATGACGCGTGCATTGTTCTGCCCTGTTGGAGCTGGTGGCACTGCTCCTGCAGGATGCAGTGTCACTGTTTTTCGCTTTGCGTCTCGCATTTCGGCTCGTGGTGCTCGCTTCCTCGTTGGCCTCTGCCTGGGCCCTGGCTCGTAGTTTTTCGTTGCCATTTTGTCCTTGCTGTTTGCGGAGTCTGCGGTTCGGCAGTTTCTGCAAGCGGCGGCTTTTCGTTGTCATTCGTTATTGGACTTGTTTGTCCTTCACGGGGTCCGGGAGGGGGGGGGGGTTCCTCCCGGATGGGGCGTGTCTGCTCACCCGAGTTGGTTCTTTTCTGGTTTGGGTTCGTGGTTCCCTGTCGGACATTCCTTTTCGTTCAGGCACTGCTTGCTAGGTGTCCGCACCTAGGGGTTTTCCCACGGCTCCAATGATTGGTCCAGTCCGTGACGGGACTCGTTTGGTCTTCTCCTAACATCTTCAACTTTGGTAATTTTGACTCGAGTCTCTCACCATCTGTTTGGTGATCAGGTGGCTTCTTGGTGTCCCACCTGCGTGCTTCGTCTCGGCGGCAGTATGGGGGTTTTCTGGCAGCCTTTCCTTTTCCTTTTTGTCCCTTCGTAGGTATAGCTTTTTGTTGATGTGGTCTTGTCCTTCTCTCTTGGAGGTTCAGGACCATCATCTTGCCACATACTGTCGCCTTGTATTGTGCGGCGCTGGCGGAGCCGTTGCAGATTGCTTTTGGTTTTGATGTTCCTTCTGCATCATTTCGCAAGCTGTCTCAGGTGTTGTTCACCTCCGGCTTGCTCGTGCGCGGCCTGAGCCGTCCTGGTCTTGGGCGGGGTGCTCTCTTCTCTCTCCCCCTCTCTGTTGTGGCCACTTTGGTTCAGCTTTGTTTGTCAGTGGTTTCTGCTTCTTTGGGTTCTGGTGATCGGTTGTTCACCAGAACAACTGGTTGTTCACTTCCCGGCAATCTTCCCTCCCTCCCTCCTGTTGGCAGTTTTTCACATGTTTTTTGACATTCAGCCTCAGAACTGCAGGGTGGATCACTGGTGCAGAGGTCTAAGGCTCCCCCTTCCCCCTCCTGTGGTGGGGGCAGCTGCACAGGCATGCGGCGCGGCACATGTGACGTCATGCTTGTTTGCCCATTTTCATTTGGGGAGTTCTGTCGACTCGTTTGTCTATTTTAGTAGTTTTATCCAGAATAGGAGTTTGTTTTGAGGCGATTACCTTTCTGGGTGCCTGGCCCGGTCGATGGCAGACATAGAATGCTCCAAATCCCATGTGTATTTCTATAGGCCACTGCTCCTCGTGCCTCTCTGAGGGGGGGCCAAGTTCTGCCTCGTAGTCCGCGGTAGGCCTAGAACTCCATTCACATTGATGCCAAAGTGTAATAATATGCATATCATCCTGGATAGCTTTAGGGAGCTTCCGGGTCTCACCCAGAAAATGGCGTTTCATTACATTCAACACTTGTTTTTTGTAGCTTTAGTTCAATCATTTCCATTTCCCTACATAGTCATCTGTATCATTCTTGAGGTTGGGTGGGGCATTCAAGTTGTTCTCGGATTTGTTTACTTTGTCTACAGATGGAACGTTCTCAATTCCAGTTTTTTCTTTGAGGTATGTGGCTTGAGCATATTTCTAGTGCTGCAGAGGTTATTTTCTTGAGGCACTGGTTTAGGTTTGCATTTTTAGCCATTCTTCACAGCTTATATCTGTGAGGTCTTGGTTTATTTGTTTCAGTTATTCTGTTTATTATTAAAATTAAATTTGCTGAATTCTCCTCTGCTAGAATTTGGGACTTGCTGTGCAGGGGCCAGATTCACATAGCAGTTATGAAAGTACTTACGAACCTGTACATCTTTTCTCAACCTTTGGCGGCTTTGTTTACAGTTATTAAACAGTTAACGAGCTCCGAAGCACCAGGAGGCTGTTTATAACAATAGCAACAGTTGATTGGCAAGTTTTCATGCTTGTAAACTGATTAATAAATGTAACCAAAGTCGTCAAAGATCGAGGAAAGATGTACACGTTCATAAGTACTTATGTAACTGCTTCGTGAATCTGGCCCCAGGTCTATTGACCAGGATTGTCTGAACTTATATTATATTGTGATCTGAATAATTAGTATTTGTAATCATTATATTCTTGATCAGTTCATCATCATTATTGGTGAAAATAAAGTCTAGTGTGTTATCTTTTCTGGTTGGGTCTACTATTTGCTGGTTTAGTGCAAATCTGTCACACATTTGTATTAAGTCATTTGTGTGTGACTGTTCATTTAGGCTACTTCCTGGTATTCTCTCTGTATTTGCCACGCTCTTATATTTTCGAGGCTGTAAGTTGAAGTTGCCAAGCAAGATGATATTTGGGTCTGGATTTGTGAGCTTTTCTGAACATGGTTGAGGAAAATGGTTTGTAAATGGTTGAGGAAAGTTTGAGGTATATACACCTCAAACTTGACTGTCATGAACACTGACTGTCAAGCGACTCTTGCCTTATTATTTATAGATTGTAACTTTAATAAAGCTATATATTGTAGTTCTCCCATCTTTAAATTTATTTAGGATTGTATAGTTTGGATATGATTGTTTGATTTGGCTAAGGTTATTTTCATGTAATTTTTTATACAGTATATGCCAAGACCACCTGTTCAAGCAGGAAACTGCTCACTGTACCTGTTTCATTTGTTTATTTCGGTGCATATCTTGCTACTGTCTGACTTCTTGATGAACATATACAAATCAGATTACATTTGGATAATGAGCTACTGGATAAAGCAAATGATCTAGATTTAATGGTAGACCAAATAACATTGTGTAACATTGGTTTTTGTTTGGTTTTTGCTTTGGAAAAATCACCTTCCTGGCCATAATTATTTGTAACATTGATTCTAGTGCAAACTTTTTTTTTTTTCTTTACATAAATTTTAGCTATTTTCTGTACAATAATCATCCAAAATATGATACTAGGTTTTTTTTACTCGTGTTCTTTGTGAATGTAAATGAAAACTACCTGAAACTTATACACGCACAGAAATCACAATAGCATGTTATATCAAATGAACACAAGGGCCTTGATGAGGGTTTGAACTTACACACGGAATGTTCCGAGACGTGCCTTAGTCAGCTGTACCACCACGTGGTCCATGTGGTGTACTCCAGCCTGTACTCCATACACCAGCCTCTGTCTCACATCAGCCTTTACTCATTAGACTCCCTTAGTACTTTGCACATTTCTAATAATTACAATATTATTCATATCCTAAGGTGTACTGACCCAGGGATACCTTTCTTGACTGTACTCATGGGGTCAAACCATATCTACTTTTTATCTAAATTAATATAAAATATAGGACCAATTTTATTTGATTTAACATGGATAAGCCACGACTGGATATAGGCATGCATAATTATGCTGTTAAACAATGTGATAACTAGCTGTGTAAAGTGATTAAGTAAGAAGCAAACTTGCTATCGATATTAAATTCTTTATTATACTTAAGGTTGTGTTGTGTGTTTACTCAGCGTATGTGGCAGAGGGGGGTAAACAGTGACGTCGTGCTCCGTCAAGCTGGGCGGGCCCCAGTGAATGGAGTTGGGCGAGGTCGAGGTGGTAGTGTGGACCGTGGTCGGGGTCGGGGTCGCGGTACAGGTTCATATTACACCCGTGGCCTGAGCTACGATGAAGAAGTGGAACCACGGGGCCCAAGAGAGGGAGGTCCACCTGGTATTGGAATTAGGTAGGTTTTCTGTATACAGCAAACGTTTGGAAATATGTATTGTTGTTCGCTCTATAATTACCAAGTCTGGAGACATTGTTAATCAATAATTTTTTCTTGAATATATGTACTTGATGAGCCATGTTATGCTGAAGATTTTTATTTTAGAGATGAAGAGTGTATGTATAATCACCTTGGTTAGATTAGAATTTGTATACAACATTGAGTAATTGTGTAATATTTGAATTTGTTACATGCATATTGAACAACAATTTGACTTCAAAATAATCTCTCAGTATATTTCTACAGGAGCAAACCATTTGAAAGGTCCCAAAGTGTGCACGAACAACGGCCTTGGAATGAACGAAGTCCAGCAAATACAGTCAGTGCTACAAGTGGTCCAGAAGAACGCAACGGGGCCGTATCTCCACGGAAAGAACAAGGGAGGGCTTCAACCGAAAACTGGAGATCCCGAGGTTGTGAAAATGACGACGGTGAACGCTGGAGGGGAGCTGGGGGTGGCCGCAATGAAAAATGGGGTGAGTCACAGTGCATGTGAATTCTATAGCTGTCACTGTGTAAGTGTTGTACAGTTTAACATATTTGCAAATACTGTACCCTAAATTTTCTGTGCTCTGTAATATAGAGTTTGTGTGCATGTTTACCTAGTTGAGCCTGCAGGGGTTGAGCTTTGGCTCTTAGGGCTCCACCTCTCAACTTTGTCAACATTTGTTTATTTATTTATTTATTTACTTATATATATACAAGAAGGTACATTGGGATTGTGAGGATACATAGCATAGTAATTACATTCTTGTAAAGCCACTAGTACGTGCAACGTTTCGGGCAGAAACTGAAATTTTTTTAAAACTGTGTAAGGACTTTTTTTTTTTTTTCCACCACTTCACTTCTAGTACTGTATACTTACCAATTGTTTTGTTTTATCAGGGATATGATGCCTGTGTATATATGTAATTACCTAAGTGTAGTTACAGGAGGAGAGCTATGCTCCTGGTGTCGTGTCTTAACAGCACTGTCGTATAATGCTTTAAAACTACTGATGATTTTGGCTTCTACCTTCACCTCACTTGTTCCAACTCTCTACTACTATGTTTGCAAAAGTGAATTTTATTATATTTCATTGGTATCTTTGTTCAGTTAGTTTAAATCGGTCCTCTTGCTCTTGAAGTTCCAGGTCTCGAAAGTTCTTCTTTATCAATTTTGTCAATTACCATTACTATTATGAGCGTAGTGATCATATCACCTTTTTTTTCTGCTATCTTCTGGTTTTGACATTTTAATGCTCTAACCTTTCTTCGTAGCTCTTGTCTTTCAGTTGTGGAAGCCATTTAGTTGCATGTCTTTACACCTTTTCCACTTTGTTGATGTGCTTCTTGAGATATGGGCAACATACAACCATTGTATACTCCAACTTTAGTCTCACAACAGTTGTAAATACAATAATGTCTTTAGTACTCTATGTAAAAACTATTCTGGAATTAGAAACTGTAGCATAGGCTCCTCTTACAATGTTCTTTTATATTTTCCTCAGGTGATAGTTTTCTGTTCAAAATCACTCCCAGTGGTTAAAACAAAACTCTTAATCAGAATTTTATTTTAGCCTTTTCCCATAATTTATAGATTGAGTGGTCTATTTTCTCCTATTGCACATTTCGTAACAAGGCATTTATTCACATTAAATTCCATTTGCCAAGTGGTGCTCCATATACTTATTCAGTGCAGGTCTTCTTGAAAGGCATGACAATTGTCAAAGTTTCTTATCTTCTTATCTAATGTGGTGCGTAATTACCTAAGTGTAGTTACAGGATAAGAACTACATTTGTGGTGTCCCATCTTCCCAGTACAGTACTCTTTGTCATATAAGACTTAGAGACTACTGACGGTTTTGGCCTCCACTGATTGTGAGTGTGTACTCACCTAGTTGTGTTTGTGGGGGTTGAGCTCTGGCTCTTTGGTCCCGCCTCTCAACTGTCAATCAACTGGTGTACAGATTCCTGAGCCTACTGGGCTCTGTCATATCTACATTTGAAACTGTGTATAGAGTCAGCCTCCACCACAACATTACTTAATGCATTCCATTTGTTAACTATCCTGACACTGAAAAAATTCTTTCTAATGTCTCTGTGGCTCATCTGGGTACTAAGTTTCCACCTGTGTCCCCTTGTTCGTGTTCCACCCATGCTAAAGAGTTTGTCTTTGTCCACCCTGTCAATTCCCCTGAGAATTTTGTAGGTGGTTATCATGTCTCCCCTTACTCTTCTGTTTTCTGGGTTGTGAGGTTCGGCTCCTTTAGCCTTTCCTCGTAGCTCATTCCTCTCAGTTCCGGAACCAGTATGGTGGCATACCTCTAAATCTTCTCTAACTTCGTCTTGTGTTTAACTAGATATGGACTCCAGGTTGAAGCTGCATACTCCAGGATTGGTCTTACATAAGTGGTATACAGGGTTCTGAACGATTCCTTACACAAGTTTCTAAAGGCAGTTCTTATATTGGCCAATCTAACATATGCCGCTGATGATATCCTTTTGATGTGGGCCTCTGGAGACAGGTTCGGTGTGATATCAACCCCCAGATCTTTCTCTCTAATTTGACTCTTGCAGGATATCACCTCCCAGATGGTACATTGTATTCAGCCTTCTGTTACCTTTGCGTAATTTCATTACTTTACACTTTCCTGAGTTGAACTTTAGTAGCCATTTTCTAGACCATTCCACCAGTTTCTCAAGGTCATCCTGTAGTCTCTGTCTGTCTTCATCTGTTTTGATTCTTCTCATAATTTTTGCATCATCAGCAAACATTAAGAGGAATGAGTCTATACCCACTGGAAGGTCGTTTACATATATAGGAAACAGGATGGGTCCGAGTACAGAGCCCTGTGGAACCCCACTGGTGACATCTCGCCACTCTGATGCCTCCCCTCTCACCATTACTCACTGTTTCCTATTGCTTAGATACTCCCTTATCCACTGGAGCACCTTACCTTTTATTCCTGCCTGTTGCTCCAACTTTTGTAACAGCCTTTTGTGAGGTACTGTGTCAAAGGGTTTCTGACAGTCCAAGAAAATGCAGTCTGCCCACCCTTCTCTTTCCTGCCTAATTTGTGTTGCTTGGTCATTGAATTTTATTAGGCCTGTGAGGCACGATTTACCGTCTCTGAACCCATGCTGGTGGTGTGTTACAAAGCTATTTTCCTCCAGATGCTCTACGAGCCTTTTCCTCACAATCTTCTCCATCACCTTGCATAGTATACAAGTTAGGGAAACTGGTCTGTGTGTGTGTGTGTGTGTATATATATTATTTATTATATTTATTTATTTATTTAGAGAGGCTGCAGGAACATAAAAGCCATAGATTAGTAAGAGCTCTAAATGAACCGACCACGATTCAAACCCATGACATAAAGGATCACCCTTAAACGTACCCAGTACTGTGACCACCACACCGTTGATCGTCTAATATCAGTGGTGCGGTTGTCACTGTACTGTGTACGTTTGAGGGAGGTCCAAGATGTCATGGGTTCAAATCCTGGTTGGGTCAGTTAGAGTTCTTAGTGATTATATATGTATATATGCAAATGATGTCTCCCTCCTTAAAAATTGGCACCATATTAGCAACCATCCATTTCTCTGGTACTTTGCTCAACTCTAATGATATATTTAAATGTGCAACACAAAGGCTCACTAAGCTCTTCTTCTTGTGGCCCTGTTGGCATTTTTGGCTTGAAGTTTTGTGTGTATTTTATAACTTCCTCCCTGGTAACCACAAACTAATCTACCTGTCCTTTTCACCACCCATTACAGTTGTTCATCAGAAGACATGGGGTTAAATTCTTCTCTAGTAAATACCAAAACAGTATGTACTTATGACACTCGTGTTCCGATGACCCTAAGGCGTGTCAATCATACTCCGTTTGTAATCATTCTGATTATAAAATGTCTCGTCTGATTGCAAATCATAAACATACATTTTTTAATCACTGTTCCATATAATCTATTAGAAATGCACTTTTGTTTTTGTATCTGTTCTCTAGAGAATTAATTTGTGAATACTTTGATACCAAATTGATAGTAATAACCAAACAAATAACTTGTAAATAAAATGTAAATGGATGTAAACATTTTAAGCATCAGTGAGCGTGACCCTCAGAGCCTGGTATGATTATGGTTGAGAACGTACGGAGAAGAGCAGAATCTATTATAAATATGCTTTTGTTTATGTATCTGTTCTCTGGAGCAGATACTCTTCATTGATATCACTACATTGCATTGACACTAACAATGCTCTCTTCTGTCATGTGAGGGATTCTAATCATCCTATTGATTGGTCTTCCTCCAAAATAATCTTTCCTGCCTCTACTCTACACAGACGCCGTCTTGTTGAATCGGCTCTTATAAACAACGTACCCAACATGAACTTGAGTCCTGGCTTTGTTGCTGTGGACTCTTCCCTTTCACAGTATATACTCAAATACTCTAATCTTTCTAACATAAACTTACCCTTCCATTTATCTTTCTTTCTGTTTCCTTTTCTTTCTCTCTTCTCTTTTTTCTGTTCATTGTTTTCTCTTACGTTCCCTTGCTATCCTCCTCTTCTTCCTATTACTATCCCCTTCTCATTCTGTGGTTATAATAGGAGCTGCGTCGTATGGGCCAACGGGCCTTCTGCAGTTCTTATTCCTATTATTATCCCCTCGACTACACCTTTCCGTTCGTACCTTTTTGCCTTGCTTCTCACCTCTCTCTTGACTATTTATTGCCCTGCATCAACTCGCTCATCACAATCGACCTGAGAATGGTCCAGGACGGACCGAAACGTCGTCGTCCCTTCACTTTCTAGTGTGTTGTCTGGTCAATAATAATTATGATCTTAGAATGATGTATATGAGTATAGTGGTGTTAACTGGGGGTTGAGGCACAGATGTTGAGGGGAGGGTTGGGTTTTTGTTTGATTAGGTTAGGTTATCTTATGTTTAGTTAGCTTTGGTTAGGTTAGGTCAGGTCAGGTTAGCTTTGGTTAGGTTGTTTAGTTAGCTTTGGTTAGGTTATGTTTAGTTAGCTTTGGTTAGGTTATGTTTAGTTAGCTTTGGTTAGGTTATGTTTAGTTAGCTTTGGTTAGGTTAGCTTTGACTTGGTTAAGTTTGGTTAAGTTTGGTTAGGTTTGGATAGCTTTGGTTTGGTTGTTAGGTTTGCTTTGCTTTGGTTAGGTTAGGTTAGCTTTAGTTTGGTTAGATTAGGTTAGGGGTGCTTTTGTTAGGTTAAGTTAGGTTTGCTTTGGTTAGGTTAGGTTAGGTCAGGTTTGCTTGGGTTAGCTTTGGTTTGGTTGGGTTAGGTTTGATTTGGTTAGGTTCGGTTTGGTTTGGTTAGGTTCGGTTTGGTTTGGCTGGGTTTGGTTAAGTTTGGTTTGGTTGGGTTTTGTTAGGTTAAGATACACCAGTACAAACTTGTTTCATTGGCATTATAAATTTGGTCATGAAAGAGAGAATCACAATCTCAAATTTGTACACACATTCCTCTGGACG